GGTTTTTTAACTATCCAAACAGTTTCCATCTGTTGCACCCGGACAGATTCTTTTTTTTTTCAAACAGATTTAAATATGCCCAGGCAGATTGAACAGATTCAAATGTTCAAATAGATTGGAAAAAACTGCCAGCAGTTCTGGATAGTTATTTAACTGAAGAAGTTACCATATCTGTTCAGTTTCAAATTTGTATCTGTTGGCAGATTTCATACTTGTTCAAACTTTTCTGGACAAATCTATTAGCCTCACTTTGCCTATAAATACAGCCTTTTCCAGCAGTCTTTTGGGACTAAAAAATTCATTTTTTGCTATCCAATTTTTGCTCTGTTGCATATATTCTTCATATAATTTTAAGAATAAATTTAGAGAGTATAGAACACAGGTTCTACTTCACCGAACAAATTGTTTGGAGTGCTATTACAATTTGTGAAGATCATTGTATCTTGGGAGATAGACGCCATTAGTCCGTAAACACCGATGCGGGGCGAATCTATTTAAGGACAGAATGTTACACACTTAACTTGATCTTTTAATTTTTCATTCAGTTTGGTAAAATAAATTCTATAAATTATTTATTTTATTTATTTAATTTGATTTTAATTTATTTATTACACACAAAAGATTATTTCAACAAATTCATCCTGAACTTAAAAAAGTGCACCTAGTGTGCAATGACCTTGCCGTGCACTAAGGAGAAAAATTATTCAAACAATTAGGACCCCCAGAACAAAAGTTTATATAAAATATATTAAACTCTTATAAGGTTTTTGACTAATACATTAGTACCTTTGTAACTCAATTATATAAAAGTTATAATTAAAAAAATTATAATCAAATATCACATAAAATATAATTAAAAATTAATATATCATATCTAAAATAATATCATAATACATATCATAATAAATTATAATAAAAAATTATAAAAATCGCAATGAAACGTGGTACACGCCTCAACAGAATTTCTCAAAACAAAAAATATCTGCAACCCCGCATTTGATAAGCTGGAATCATGAACAATGGTTCTGCACTACACAACCTCTCACTTTTTCACTTTACTAAAGCATTTGTCATGTAGTCAGTATTGTTTTTTTCTTGTACAATTATGAAATTATTCTCTGTTTGTTTGTTCTTATTAGGTATAATGCCATTAGCCCCGCATCTCCCTCCCACAGTTCAACTCGAACACCACCGTAGATCATCTGTCAAAAAATAAATAAATGAATTTGAGAGACTAAAAATAGAAATATTGAACACTGAAGAACACTATCAAAACCCACGATCCTACGGTCTAAAATTGATCCATCATGATGATTTCAGTTAACAAGAGTGGATCATGCAATCTTATTGACACCTGATAAATGTGCATTCTCAGTGGGTGGGTTTTGTATCAATTTGAATTATTTTTAGGTTAGTTGAATAATTATTTACATAAAAAAAATTAAATTGATTAAATAGTGATAGTCACATAATCATATTAAATTATTTTTAAAAATAAATAATTTATTTTTAAAAAATATATTTATCATTCATATTTTAAAAATAAATGTGAATTACTCATGTAATTTTATGTAAATAATTTATTCAACAGATATTGTTAAATGAACGGATTGAAGGTCTAAAGTGAGTTCAAAGTGATTGGGCCGAAATTATCATATGATATAAACCACCGCTTGATTTTGCAGGTTTTGGTAATTTTTTATATTTAAAAAAAGAAAAATTCCTACTCCTTCGTTTTTTTGTGGTACAACTGAATAAATACTCTCCTTTGGGAGAAGTTATTTAAGGGTTATTTAGAGTGTTTTAAATAAGGAGTAATGATTCATCCTCCCTTTTTTTCCCACTCCCTTTGACCCCCTCTCTCTCATTGATTACCTTTTCTTTTCTTTTTTTCTTTTTTTTCCTGCTCCTCCAATCACCACCTGCCACGTGGCAAAGGGGGGTGAGGGGGTGACCCCAAAAGGGGGTCCCAAGCATTATTCTTTAAATAAGTTTGAATTAAAAAATAGAAGAAAAAAATATGGTTGTTTGGGAAAAGATAAAAAAATACTTTTTATCTTTTTACAAAAAAATGTGTATTAAAATATTATATAAAGTAACAAAATTACAAATTTACCCCTATGTCCTAGACTAGTGTAGTTGCGTTGACTTTCTCTCTCCTTTCTTCTTCTTCTTCTTCTTTTTTTTTTTTTTTTTTTTTTTTTTTTTTTTAATGTAAGTGTGGCTTACATTGTGTCATGTTTTGCACTTTTATGAGAAATTGTGGCTGCTGCGGCAATGGCTGCACAGTTTGACCTGGTTTAAATTTTTTATTTTTTATTTTTTTGGGACAGATTTTCCGTCAAAAAATAGGTGAATAGTATAAATTTTTTTATTTTTTTAGTGACTTTTTGACTTTTGTATATCATGCCAAATCAACCCTTACTATCCAAGGACAACAACATGGTGCCATAAATTTGGAATGAATAATATTAAGGGGTGTTTGGGAAGAAAAAAAATAGCCTAATTTAGGCTAAAATTCACAAAAAGACAACATAAGCTAAAATAGCTAATAAGAAAAAATATCACATCAAACCCATAATCATTTCACTTTTTCTCTTACAAACATCACATCCAACCATAAAAAAATCCAATCATCTTTCCAAACACAAAATTTTAGCCTACTAAAATAGTCAAAAACTAAAATAGCCTACTAAAATAATAACTTCCCAAACGAAGCCTATATGTACCAATTAGTGTACTAATAGGTGATGTGACATCATTTTAGAGGTTTTGAATATTTGTAATGTGTATAATAAATGTGGTCAATAATAATGTCATAATAGTATTTAGTATACTAATTAGTGTATATAACACCACCGATTTGGAATTGGGTTCCTGTTGTGCCGTAAAGTACAGCTAGCTGTTGTGAGGCTCATTAAGGGCATGGTCCAAGTCTTTTTTAATAATTTGAATCGTTCATATTATAAGATTCGTCGAATAAATCATCCATACAAAAATCAAATAATTTGGACATTTATAGCCTTATAATAAGAGCACATTAGTTTTTCAAAAAATAAACAGTTATCATGATTTTAATAATTTTTTAAAAACAATTAGGACTTAATCATAAGGTTACAAATGTCCAATTAATTTAATTTTATATATAGATCATATACTTGACAAACTTTACAATATTAACGGTTCATATTATCAAAATACACTCAATAAATATCTTTATAGGCCCTCACAATATGACTATTGTGCCATAAAGTGCAACAGTAACCCTCAATCCCATAAATTTATTATAATTCGTAAAAATAGTAAGTGTTACCTATTTTATGTTAGTGATGGAGTAAACAGTAAGGTTGTATTGTAATTAGTGATTGAGGGGTGACATCGTCCAGTAGTTATTGGGGAGAAAAAGTTCATGCAATGGTAATATTGGCCTTGTTAGGTTTATCTCTTAGGAGAATTTTTGAAAAAAATTTAAACAATTTATTTAGTTGGAAATTTTTGAAAAATAAAAATATAAAATTCCTTTTTTCTTTACTACATATCAATTAATCATTTTTTCTTTTTCCTCTCTCTTTCTCTTACATTTTATACATCAATCAATTATTTTTTCTTTCACAGCCATTTATTCAACTACTATAAAACAAAATAATTTAAATCATCCTAAATTCCGAAACTATTTTCAACACATATAACCAAACAAATTTTTAAATTTTATAAACTATTTTCATAAAATTATTTTCCAAAATTATTTCACAAATACAAACCAAACATGACTATTATATTTTTAATGACACATGGTATTATCATCTAATAAAAATCTATTATGTACACCATTATGTAGATGGATCTAGTTTTATTTTCATGGTAGAAGTTACTCTCTTAGAGTGTCATTATCAAACTCATTAGAGTTTTCTCTTGGAGATGGATCTAGTTTTATTTTCATGGTAGAAGTTACTCTCTTAGAGTGTCATTATCAAACTCATTAGAGTTTTCTCTTGGTTATTTTATATTACAAAATTATAGAAATACACTCCATCAAACTTAATTATTTTCCAAAATTGTTTCACAAATACAAACCAAACATGACTATTATATTTTTAATGACACATGGTATTATCATCTAATAAAAATCTATTATGTACACCATTATGTAGATGGATCTAGTTTTATTTTCATGGTAGAAGTTACTCTCTTAGAGTGTCATTATCAAACTCATTAGAGTTTTCTCTTGGTTATTTTATAGTACAAAATTATAGAAATACACTCTATCACACTTAATTCATGACTAGCTCCTTTAGTTGAATATCAAACTACTAGTTACACATAATTAGAGAAAGAGGCTCACAAATTATTTTAGATAATAAAATATTTAATATATTTATTATATTTTATTTATCATTTAATAAATAACTAAACTAGTGCAATTGTAATACATGAGCTAAAAAACATAATTTGATAAATTAAGGAAAAAAAATCATAAACAAAGTTTGTATAAAAAACTAATCAAAATGATATAATTATGTTATTTTTAAAAATATAAGTTAGAATAATATGTATTTTAAATTGAGATAAGCGGAGCGTAAAGTATCACATCATTTTGTATGTAAATTTAATATAATTGTTTTATGGGCAAATTACATTGACTTTCCTAAAATTTGGATACAACAAACCATATATTTTAAAATAATTAAATCAACATCTTTATTTGTAAGCTTAAAGGAATTAGAACGAATGTAGGTAGTGACATCCTCTCCTTGCAAACCATGCTTGCAAGCCTCCAACGGCTGAGATTAAAAATAAAAAATAAAAATTGGTTTCTCGCCCAAAACAAAACACAGCTTATACACAGATTTTTGTTTGGAATCAGAAGCAAAAAAACTCACAATCATTCCTTCTTATCCGTCGAACCCACCATAGGCAGTCTCGACACCGTTGCAAGGACCGACGACACTCATTCCTTCTTCTCTGTCGAACCCACCATAGGCAGTCTCGATGTCGTTGCAATGACCGACGACGGTGAAACCAGAGGTTAGTTCCCCTCTGTCTCTATAAGCAGAGGTTTGCCAAAATCGTTAAACCAGAGCCAAATCTATCATCTATTTTGAATCAGTGTGAGTTTTTGGGAAACTGAATGGAAGTTTGTATCGTTAAACCAGTGATTTCTTATGTTAGATTTTTCTACATTCACCACGCTCTATCTCTGTAAATCAGAGGTTTGCCAACGAGTAAACTATTAAAGATTTTCTGCACATACTATTAAAGATAATTTTTAATATGTAACCAGAGGTTTGCACATCAGAGGTTTGCACATACTATTCTGCACATACGAGTAAACTATTAAAGATATTCTATAAATCAGAGGTTCTGCACATATTAATGAGAGGTCCATACTATGTTCTGCACATATTAGTGAGAGGTCCATACTATGCATACTATTAAAGATAATTTTTATTATGGATGCACAACCACAATACATACTATGGATGCGCAATGAGTATACATAGCTAAGATATGCTATATATTAAAGATATTCTGCATTCATACATTATGAAGATAATATGCTGCATTAATTCAATTATGGATGCACAATGAGTATACTGAAGATAATATGCTGAATGAGTATAAATTAATGGAGAATGAGTATACATTAATGAGTGTATTATTACATTAATGCACATAATACATTAATGCAGAATGAGTATACATTCAATTATGCAGAATAATGCAAAATGAGTATACATTAATTATGCTAACTCACACTGTCATGTGCATCCATAATTGAATTATGCCAATGCATTATTCTGCATATTAAAGATATTTAGTTCTCATTTCTTGTTTCTTTATCCAAGTGTGACAGTGAGCTAAGATTTTATTTATGTAGCTAAGATTTTATTTATATGGGTTTTCAGTTGCATTTTCATATGGATATGGAATCTGAGAATGATTATGGTTGGAAGTCAAAACAGGGAATGACATTCGATTCAGAACAATGTGTGTATGATTTTTATAATACATATGGAGGAAGAATGGGGTTTAACATAAGAAGAGATTTTTTTAGGAAGAATAAGTTCACTGACCAACTTATTTGTAGACTTTTGGTTTGCAACAAGGAGAGATTTCGGAAGGTTCACAAACGAGACGCATTGTCAAAAAACCCCAGAGCTGAAACTAGGACTGGATGTGAGGCTCGACTTTATGTTAAATTAGATGAGGGTACTGGGAAATTTGTTATGACTGATTTCAAAGAAAAACACAATCATGATCTTGCATCACCCGAGTGTGCCCACAGTTGCCGTCACAAAGAAAGATATCGACTACCCAAGCAATTGAGTTAGATTTGGCGGCACAATCTGGTCTTTGTTTAGGCCAGTCATTTGAACTAATGGGTAAGGAAGCTGGTGGGAGGCAATGTCTTGGGTTTACAAAATTAGATCAAAAAAATTATTTGAGAACCAAAAGACAACAAAGTTTAGCATATGCGGAAGTAGGCAATGTGTTGCAATACTTTAAAGAAAAATCTTTGTAGGACTTTTGGTTTGCAACAAGGAGGGATTTCGAAAGGTTGACAAGCGAGACCCATTGTCAAAAAACTCTAGAGCTGAAACTAGGACTGGGTGTGAGGCTCGACTTTATATTAAATTACATGAGGGTAATGGAAAATATGTTGTGACTGATTTCAAAGAAAAACACAACCACGATCTTGTATCACCTGAGTGTGCCCACATGTTGCCGTCACAAAGAAAGATCTCCACTACCCAAGCAATTCAATTAGATTTAGCGGCACAATCTGGTCTTCGTTTAGGCCAGTCTTTTGAACTCATGGGTAGGGAAGCTGCAAAATTAGATCAAAAAGGTTTTACGAAGTTAGATTCTAAAAATTATTTGAGAACCAAAAGACAACAAAGTTTAGCATATGGGGAAGTAGGCAATGTGTTGCAATACTTTAAAGAAAAATCTTTGCAAAATCCTTCCTTCTTTTATGCTTTTCAGTTAGATAATGAGGAGCAAATAACGAATATGTTTTGGGTCGATGCACAAATGATCATGGATTATGCCTAATTTGGTGATGTTGTCACATTTGATACGACTTACAAGTTAAACAAAGAACATAGACCCTTTGTATCTTTTGTGGGATTCAACCACCATAAGGAAACCGTTATATTTGGTGCAGCCTTGCTGTATGATGAGACCGCCGAATCGTTTGTATGGTTGTTTCAAAATTTTCTAGAGGCTATGTCAGGAAAGGCACCAAAAACGCTGTTCACTGATCAAGATGCTGCAATGGCTAAAGCCATACCCATCGTTATGCCGGACACAAGTCACCGTTTGTGTACTTGGCATTTGATGCAAAATGCATTAAAACATGTTAATTGTTTGTTCCAAGATAAGGGGGTAAAGGGTGTACTAAATAAGTTCTTCTTTGACATTGAAGATGCAAATCAATGGAATGCAAATCAATGGAAGTTAGAGTGGGCGGAAATGCTTGATAAATATGATGCGCATGAAAACCATTGGTTGAAATTAACTTTTGCGGTGAAAGAAAAATGGGGCTGGCCATATGTTAGATCAACATGGACTGCGGGAATGAGTACCACACAACTTAGTAAATCTTTAAAGCTTTTTTGAAGGATTACATTCATTCTGATTTTAACTTAAATGAATTCTTCATGCATTTCAAAAAGGTACTTTACGAGAAGCGATACAAGGGGTTAGAAGCAGGATATGCTTTGTGCCAAAGGTTGCCAAAGGTGAAAACAACAATAAGAATGTTAATTCAAATAGGTAATGTTTACACAAAAAAGATATTTAAGGAATTTCAAAATGAGTACTTTCAATCCATTGAATCGAAAATAGAAGCAATTGAATATAACGAGGCTAGTACCATTTACACAGTTGTTGATTTTGGTAACAGACATGCAAGGAAAGTGAAGATGAAGAGGGATGGCTCATTGGGTTGTAATTGTACAAAGTTTGAAAGGGAAAGAATCTTGTATTGTCACTCATTGAAGGTTATTAGAGACATATTGAAGATGAAAGAGGTTCCTCCATAATACATTCTAAAAAGGTGGACCAAACAAGCAAGAGCCGAAACTGTGAAGGACATTGAGGGGAATGACATTCAAGTGGATGTGAAATTCCAACAAGCCTCGCGGTATAAGACATTGATGACCGCATTTAGAGCACTAGCAAGTAGAGCTGCTAAAACTGAAGAAACCTATGATTTTTGTATTGCACACCTTGCTACATTAGGTGCCAATGTTGAAGGCAAGTTAAGTGCTCTTTTTGGTGTTGGAAATGAAGTAAGTAATGATGATGACACCCAAAGCTTTGAAGTGGATTGCGAAAATGTGAATCATGCTGTGCAACCAAAAGGATTGAAGAAAAATGTGGCAACTAGTAAGGGCAAAAAGAGGGTAAAAGGTGGATTCGAAACGGCATTGGTAGCGAACTCCAAAAAAAAATCCCATGCTAACAGCTTGGCTTCGTCACAATCTATTGCAAGTCCAACAGCTGCACCGTCTCCATTATCTGTTGGAGGAGATATCTATGTTCGTCAACATGTTCCTCCTCTTCAACCTCTTCCCCTCCCCCCTTCATCATTTTCCTCTATCTTTGCCCATGGGTGGTAATTCTATTCCTTTGCCATTAATGAATCCCACATATCATGTAATGTTGGTACAATGTATGTATTTTTTGTATGGACATAATATGTGACTCAAACCATGATTGCGAAGCCTAATATATGACATTGTTCTTCACCTAATTTGCAAGAGATGTATGTAGTGCATAATTCTTTGCCAAATTCAATGCCTTAACGGTATCCTGTATTTTGCTCAACCAATATTCCAGTCACTACTTCAAGGTTCAAGTGGATATGACATTGGGTTTCGATATTCTCAAGAATTAAACAGTCCAATGTGTAGTCAGGTTTGTCCTTGCTGTCTTTTTAATTTGTACTTGCTGAAAATTCTAGATTTTGAGTTGTTGAAAATTCTATTTGAAGTATGTATTTAGTTGTTGAAAATTATGGAAAATAACTGTGAACATGAGGCATTTTACAGAAAATAAATTATGAACATGAGGCATTTTACAGAAAACTATAGCAGAACATGAGGCATTAAAATAGTTTATTCTATTTTTTTCAATTAAATTATGTCTTTGTCCATTTTAAGCTATGGACAAGCACAAAGACAAGCAAACTGAAGCTGAAAAGGGCCTGCAAAGTGAAGTCATACCATCTCAAATTGTGAAGCAAACTCATGCTGGATTGCTGCACAAATTGTGATGTTGCTGAGAAGTGAAGTAATGACCTGTATGTGTATTCAAATGCCTTGCTAGCTGGAAAGTGATGTTCAAATTGTTGTTCAAACTCTAGTCGAATGTGTGTTGAAATTGTGTTAAACATGTGTGTTCAAACTGCTGCTGTATGTGTGTTGAAATTCTGATGTTGCTGGAAAGTGAAGTAATGAGAATGATTGTGTTTTCAAATGGCTTCTGAATGTGCTGCTGGTTCTAGTGTTAAACATGTGTTCAACCTGTATGTATGTTAATGGCTTGTTGAATCTTTTATTGGCTTGTACCTGTACGTATGTGTTAATGGCTTGTATGTTAATGGCTTGTTGAATCATTTAATGCTGGGAATGGTATGCTAATGGTTAATGGTTCTGGTCTGGCTCTGCTGTTAAACCAAAATCTGCTGGTTCTGTTGTCATCTGGTTCTGGTATGTTGGATCTGCTGGTATGTTCGTGCTAATGTTGGATCTAGTATGCTCAGAACCATAACATGCTTGGTAACATAATTACATGATTGAACTAGCAGAAGTGCAACCCTACAGTTCAACACACCCCTTGAGAAAATCAAAAATAGTATTAGTTTTGGCACTCAACAAGGCTTTCAAGACAATATTAGTGTAACAAACTCCACATCAAAATAAAGAAGGGAAAAAGAAGAGTAAGATAGAAAACAAAATCAGAATATAAGAGCTCACCTTAGCCTCATACTGGGCTTTGATAGGTCTATATACAACTGCATGCCAGACAAGTATGGCACATAGTATTGCACAACAGAGTTTCAAATCAACTGAGCTGAGCATAACTACCTGGCTTAGTTCAGCTAAGAGTTTTAAACATAAAATTCAATTTTAGCACACTAGGTATCCTCTAAACAATGATACTAAGAACCATAACATGCTTGGTAACAGATAACAAATAACAAATAACAAATAACAAAAGTTACATCATTCATTCATTCCATCATTCCATGGTTCTGCTAGAGCTTCATTCCATCATTCATTCATCATTTATTCCATAACAAATAACAAATTGAATGTTTCCGAAAATTCATTCCATCATTCATTCCATAACAGATAACAAGTTGAGGGAAATCAACAAAAGTTACACCATAAAGTACATAAAACCCAAAATGTTTCCCAAAATACATAAACATAAGTTAGTTCATGATGAAGTACATAAAACCCAAAATGATACAAATTTCCATTCAGTTCCCCAAAATAGAATAAAGTACAAAAGTTACATCATAAAGTACAAAATGATAGAAAATACAATGAATTCACCATCGCTTTCATATTATTTTCCATCCTTTGAAGCCTTCGACCATAGTCATTTTCCATGTAGTCAAGCCTCGTCCTTACACTATTAAAGTCTTCGACTATCATACCATCACAAGCTATACAGTTGGAACGGATTCTAGATGTAACGTCTTCATCATCTTCATCCACGAACTTGAAGTAATTGTAATGGGGAGTGAGAGTGTTACTCTGCAATACATGAGAATCAGTTAGTTCAATAAGACAAATATTAATGTAACTACTAAAGGAAGAAATTTTCCAATACAAACTTACATATTTTGATGGGCAAACAAAGAACAAACGCCCTTAATTTCCATTCTCATTGGTTCTTACAATATGTATGGCAGCGGTTCTTCCACAATTGCACAACCTCGGTTGTAATCTTATGTTGCTAATGTTAGAAGAAGAAGCCATTTTTTAAATCTGCATACATGACAACTTTTTTAAATGGCAGTTCCATAGAGGAGAGGGACAGAGTGCAAAGGCTAAAAGAATTTGAGCCAAACTGAAAAGATCTTCACTTAAAATGGGACAATGTGGAACAACTAGTGTAACATCTTCAACTACAATTTCTTAGTTCTTGTGGAACAACTACAATTTCTTAGTTCCATACAGGAGATGGACAGAGTGTGGAACAACTACTAAGTTCTTGTGTAACATCTTCAAACACAGAACAAACTTAGTATAAGAAACTTAGTGTCATGGATATAATTTCTTACAAGCACATGCCTCAAGAACTTAGTATAAGAAAAGATCTTCTACTCAAACAGAATCTTTCCTATCAGAACTTAGTATAGTTCATCCTAAAACAGAATCTTTCCTATCAGAAAAGATCTTCTAATACTTTTCTCCACAAGAACTTAGTATAAGATGTTCTAATCTATGCATGTGTTCCATTGCTTCAATTAAAATAAAGTTCCCTCTCATTTAATTTTTCATAATTCATGTTGCTATAAACATCATCCTTTAATTTTTGTTTGTTTAGCAGCATCCTTTCCAAGTTAGTTTGACTACAGACATAAATGCTTTCTATTTTTCACTGTAAGAGACAACCACAAAATTCTAGAATAAATAATTTAATTATAGTTCAATGTGAGCCTGCGCTGCTAAATGTAACATCAAAAGACCACAAACCATTAATACTTCATAATTCTTTGTTTTGTCAATCAGATTTGGTTTCATCACAAGCAAGCTATTCAATGAAACCAACAAAAAAAATGAGACTACATTAATGCTTAAGTAGTGCAACTGGTCCAGTGTTCAACAAATGCATATAATGTTGTGCAGATTAGTTACTAACCAGAAAATGATAAAGTGGAGACATAACAAAATAAATGAGAAGAGGAAGCAAGACAATAAAGACGAAACTTAAGTAAGACAACGAAGACAATGAACACAACTCAAGTACAAAATTAATCAATTTGACAAACTAATTCATCCAAAACCCACAAAATCTCAGCCGAAACTGTG